AATTTATTATACTTGAACCAATCAATAATTATCATCCGGAATTTCAAATTCAAAATATTCAGAGTCTCCGAGCCCTAATTGCCCAAAACTGCACCGTCATTTTAGTCTCAGGTAACTCAGCCTACTGCTGCGAAATTACCATCAGATGCACGATTTGGGTTTTTTATAGTTGTCACTGTGAGTTGGTAGAGTTGTGGATGTATCGAAAATGGTATTAGCAGAATCATGAGTGAGTTCTGAGTTATTGGTGATTTTCCCTAAAGAATTGGTTTGTTTATGCTTTTGGGCATACTGCCATGTGCTTCGTAATTGTAGATGGTTCAATTCCTGGAATCAAAGTACCAACTTACATGCGTCGGTTAAAATCAAGACTCGAGGTACAATGATGCCAAATGAGGCACTGGGTCGCATATGATGGGCTAGTTCTCGCAGGTCGCTGACGATGCGTGATTTCACTCAAAAGGAATGTGGGATCTGAGTTCTTTGAGTGGCCCCCTGAAAAAACAGGTATTACTTTGGATTTATACATATTTCTCATTCCTTGTAGGTTGTTGCATAGAAACAATTATGAAGCCAACGTTTCGTCTTTTTCTATATTTAATTTAGATTAATACATACTTACCTAAAATTGCTGAAAGAAATCTAAGAAGGTTCGCTATTTTGCAATCAAGATCAGTTGAGGTTGGCGTTAACCTTCCTCTCCACAAGGTACCTTTCTTTCCCTCACTGCAACTTATTAGCTAGAGATTTTAGCTCCCCAGAATCATGTCTCGGTTATTGAATTCAGGAATTTCGCAGTCAGTCATTGACTATAAACAGAGAGAAATAGAAACAGATCAAGGGTCATTTATCATTTGTGAGTTGGGAGCCAATTGGGGAGAGTTAGAAGATCTCTAGAACAATTCTMCAATCTACCTAAGGATCTTGATTATTATCCTGGATTTATAGATAAGAAAGACAATTTCAATACTTGATTTTTATCACAACTACATAACAACATTTCGGGATTTACCTTAGAATTTTACTACATAACATGTATTCATCATAAAATTTCGTTTTGGTCTGGCGTTTGGTGATTGTGTATGAAACTTTCGGTTTTGTTTTTAATTAGCACCTTAAAGCTAACTGGCTTTCCCTTACATAATTCAGTTGTAAGTTAAAACATGAACTTGTCTTAACTCTTGGAAGAAATCTTTTTGCAGCCGCAGATGCCAGAGAAGTGTCCGGTGTCTGAAATCATTAAGACTCGCAAAGTACAGGGACGAGAAAGTTTTGAAGTCTCCTGGAATGATCTAGAAGGGTTAGAGACGTCCATTGTTCCTGCAGATCTTGTAGAAAGGTAATGATCAAAATCTGACATTCACTTATTTACTCAAGACTGGGAATAAAGTTGACTAGTGATTTGAATACGTAGGCTCAAGTGGTTGTCATTGATCAAACCTGTGTTGTTTGGCCTTAAATGCCAAAACTTAAATTCATGATGAATCAATGAACTGAAATAGTGTCTGAAAAAACGCAAATCTTCAGGTGAAATAGAGTCAGGTGTGGAGTTAACCGGGTACTAAAAACTCTCAAGTTCAGTGCTTTAGTTTGGCTTGGCTATAGAAATTTCATAGAAGAGTGATTGCTTGATTTCCAGTAAGCTGCAAATAATGACAGTAAAGGTTTTCAGTTAACCGAAATGAGCTATGGAACATCGAAACGAATCATACTAGTAGATCTTACTTATGCAGCCAAATTGCTTCCTATATATTTTTCAGAACACGAAAGATGGTTCAGTTTTGTCGGTTGGTTTTCAGTCAATATAACTGGTCTACTAGTGGTTTTGCCTAAAAATTCTTCTTGTTTATATTTCAGGGCTTGTCCTGAGAAGATCATAGAGTTCAAGGAGAAAATGGAAGTAAAGAAGAAGAAGCCGACGCCGAAACAAAAAGCAACCAAAATTAAAACAGAAGGAAACAAGTTCACCAACCAAATCTTCTTCTATTATCGAACTCAGCCTTGAACTCCAACACCTTGATCTCAACTCAACCTCTGTAGTAACAAGCACCGTGGAAGAAGAAGAGCCAATGTGGAAAGTCACTCTTGGAGGGGCATTGTCACAACAAATTGAGAAGCTTCGGTTGGGCTTTCACAGTTGCTCCTTTGAAGTCAAACAACTGTGTTCGAACCCGGTAGCTTGGGAAATTGCGAAAAGTGTTACTAGAGATGGAAGTTTTCAGTCATACCTCGTGCTACGAGGTCCATCATCGTTGCAAGACCGCATTGCCAATGATGCCTCACGTTGACATCTTTTATTCCTTTTTATATTAGGGTTGAGATGTCTTGGTACTCTTGTTTTTTTAAGGATGGGTTTCATCTCACACTTGATTGTTCTCTTTATTATGAAATAAAGTTACCGTAGTCGTTAAAAAACCAATTATATTGTAAATTTGTAAGACATGGTTAGTAACTTAGAATCACCACATTAGAAAAACTCATAGTCCAAATGGAATCATTTCATCACGAAAGATCATAATAATTGTGAGGGATTTCTAAAGTATATTAGAAAGCTAATTTTTCCAAAACTGAAACTGTTGATATGGAATCAGAACAATTGAGGAATCAAAACGATGCCAATTGTATTAAGCAATCAAAAGGATAAAGCTAATACCTAAGAGCCGAATCTCATCATTTACTCTCCTATCGTCAACCTACTGAACTTTCTGCTAGTTTCTTCTCCATCAGAAAAAGATACTTATGCTAAAGTTTCTGGAAGACAAGGCCTCGATGATCAATGACACACTAAAGTTCATTGGTTGTGTGGAGAGCGGAAAAATCAGACTGGGTGAGTGGAATGTTACTCAAGTTGTTGAGTTTCTGAGAGTGGAAGGGTTCAGAGAGTGGAAGGGTTC